AGACCTGTCTGAATCAACTGATAATGCGTGAGGATATAAGATTGAAGACCAGCAATATCTGAAGAGGACTGAACCTTGAACGGATGCGTGGACTCGAAATTGTACACTCACGTCACCGGCAACTCGCCCACTCAGTCCAACGGGAATGTGCTCCAGCGAGATAAAAACCGGACGACCAGCACTCCTTAAATGCATCGGAAAAAATGTTACGAGTTGATTATAGGTGAGATTAGAAAGGATTTTACGAGAATTGTTTCAAGAATTTTATCAGAACAGAGAAAAATTCAAGTTCAGCGGTAGAAATTAGCAGAGAGTACTACTCAAGAAAGTGATCACTCCCAATGATCCACTGAGTGGCTAGGATAGTATCCCTGAAGCTATCATTGAGTAGTACTCCATTTTCTGTTGTCCACTGAATGACAGTATCACTCTTATTGACAAGAAGATTGGTAAGAAGGCAGGAAATTTTGTTTGGTAAGATGTGACAATAAATTTTCTTCTTGAAGAACTGATAAGTAATCAATGCTTTATGATTGATTCAGTTTTATTGTGTTTATGAAACGGATATGAAAGAATACCTAAGAGAAAGACTTTGCGGGAGAACAGCATTAATTAATGGAATACGATAACGTTCATAGCTGCATCGATTCAGGTTTGTATTCGCATCACAGACAATTAATTCACTTCGAGATGAATCCATATTCCGATTCTCAACGTTGATGAATTGCAATGTGTAAGTGTATCGAAGTCGTGGTGGCAAAGAGACAACCTTCAAACAATGTTTCTTGAGATTTCATCTAAAATCGAGCTAGTCGAGAGGAAACGTGTCGACAATTCCAAACTTTGAACTGCTTTCAGCTAAGTCTTAGTCTTCAAAATCTTAGGCTAACACTTATACTTAACCCTAAACTAGGCCTCACCATTATTCAGCCTTACGCTCACGTTATAACTTAATCTACAATCACGTTCCCATTCAACAATTTTAGACGACGCTATTCCAGCTCGCAATCAGGTATCTATGCTTTTTATGAGCGCAGAGATCTTCGTGAAAGACTTAGTGGATTGTCCACTGGCATTGTCAAAATATTTGCTATCGCATGACTCCCAAGCGTCTAAACGAGAGTTTCAGGTAGAGCTTCAGTAATTAAAAGAAACGGGAAAGACATTCGCCATTATTTTCACATCATACATGCTCAAATAACAAAATGAATATCATTGCAAGAATCGTGGATCGTTTAGATAAGTAATTTTACATTTTTAAACTGATTATTCGCCGGTAAACTTGTTTTAAGCGCTATACGATTATTTTGTCCTGCCACATTAAACCATATACTGCGATCGCGCAGTCGATCATATTCAAACACACGCATCAATTCAGCAGAACTAATCGCATGTTGACGTCTCAACGTTGAATTCTCAATGCTGAATCATCAACAAGTTCAATCCTAAGAAGGTCACGCTTCTGCAAGCACCATAATATTCTGATGATGATAATCTTTTTAGATTATCATCCTCAGAATATTATGGTGTTTCCAGAAGCATAATCTTCGCAATTATTCGATTTCATAATAAACAATTGAGCACTTGTTTTGGGAAGTAGTGAAATTCGATTGTTAATGTTTAAACTTAAAATTCCAGTGTGTTCAAGTGAGAATGAATGAATGCGTACCGTCCAGCAAGGTGATGGCGCTTCCGAATCAATAGCCGTCCCGTTTGGTAAATAAGCACTGATCAAGTGTGGAAAGTACAAAGATTCTGGAATTGAATGTTCACTGCACATCTCGACTCGTGGTTTCTCTTCTTCATAGTAAACCGACTGCCTTCGACTTCCTGAATATGACATTAACATTGATTCTTCGCTCTAATTCTCGCTATCCTTGTACTTTTTGCAGCTTCATTCTGATCCGATTGTTTCACTGAGCACAAACGATCGAAATGAATTGATATTCTGCACAAGGTTTGTCTCAACACCTAATTGAGTTCAGCAAAAACTGCAAAACTGCATTGGAGAATTAATAATCAGTGACTG